TTGTGTGTGTGTGTGTGTGTGTGTGTGTGTGTGTGTGTGTGTGTGTGTGTGTGTGTGTGTGTGTGTGTGTGTGTTTGTGTGTTTGTGTGTTTGTTTGTTTGTTTGTGTGTTTGTGTGTTTGTGCGTTTGTTTGCTTGTTTGCTTGTTTGCTTGTTTGCTTGTTTGCTTGTTTGCTTGTTTGCTTGTTTGCTTGTTTGCTTGTTTGCTTGTGTGCTTGTGTGCTTGTGGGCTTGTGCGCTTGCGCGCTTGTGCGCTTGTGCGCTTGTGCGCTTGTGTGCTTGTGTGCTTGTGTGCTTGTGTGCTTATGTGCTGGTGTGCTCGTGTGCTCGTGTGCTTGTGTGCTTGTGTGCTTGTGTGCTTGTGTGCTTGTGTGCTTGTGTGTTTGTGTGTTTGTGCGTTTGTGTGTTTGTGTGTTTGTGTGTTTGTGTGTGTGTGTGTCTCTGTGTGTGCTTGGGGCCCCGAGTTTTTTTCCTCCTAGGCTTGGCGGGCCGTTTTGCCGCGTGGTGCTGGGGTTTTGGCTCGACCAGTCTGTCTCCCAGTCAGTCGGTCGCCCCGGTTGGTCGGTCGGTCGCCCCGTTGGTCGGTTCCCCGGAAGGTCGGTCGGTCAGGCGGTCGGTCGGTCGGTCGGTGGATTCGTCGGTGGATTGGTCGGTCGGTCAGACGGTCCAACCCCAAACCAACCCTAAACCGCCCTAAGCCAACCCTAAACCAGCCCCAAACCAGCCCTAAACCAACCCTAAATCAACCCTAAACCAGTCCTAAACCAACCCTTCAACCAATCCTAAACGAACCTAAACCACAAACCAGCCCTAAACCAGCCCTAAACCACCCCCAAACCAGCCCTACACCAGCCCTGAACCAACCCCAAAGGGCCACCCTCAGCCACCCTAAGCCAACTCGCTAAACCAACCCTAAACCAACTCTAAACCAACCAAAATCAACCCAAACCAACCCTAAACCAGGCCTTGACCAACTCTGAGCCAACCCTAAACCACCCAAAACCACCCTGAACCAACCCTAAACCAGCCCAACCCCAAACCAGCCCTACACCAGCCCTGAACCAACCCCAAACCACCGTAAACCAACGCTAAACCAACCCTTCGTCCCTGAACAAGTGAACCCTCTGCGGACTTTGCTGCGTTTTGGAAACAAGCTTCTTCGAGAAGGTAACCCCTCTGCAGCTTTTCTGGGTCCGGACCACCTCGCCGAACCTAGGAAAAAAAGGCCGCGCCGAACATAGGAAACAATAACCCTTCCGCCGTGTGTTTGTGTCTTTTGCAGGTCACCGTTTTCACCTTTAAAAGGCTTATTTCAAGGGAAACCATATGTCGACACCCAGGCGGGTGTTTCTATCAAAACAGGGGCACCATGTTCTGAAATGGTTGGTATCCTTTTGGTTTCCCGTTACCGACCAAACCTTTGGTGCATTTTGCTTGGATGTTAGGACTTTAATTTTTTGCCAACTAATGGGTTCTCCATTAAACCACTACCAGTTCAACTTTTAGCAGGGGAGCAGAAAGCAACCGAGGAACATCCGACCTTTTCCGAACCCACAGCAGGTTTTTGGTTCGTCAAGCCTCACTCTCCGAGGCTTGCGGGCAAGGGCGCTCCGCCGCGGTCGCTGGAGTGCGATGCCTCAGCCTTTTTTTTGGGGGTCACACGGGTGGACATCATTGACCCGTTTTGCTGGAATGTTTTTTTTCTTCTTTTTTTTTTTCCGCTTGTTGGTTTTAAAGGGAGTACATCACTGCTATTGGAGATGCTTTCCCATTTTGTCCGGGGTCCTGAAGCGAATGGAAGCTGGCCCAACCCTTTCTCAGATTCCCCATTTAACATCATAGCCGCATAACCAAATGGGCTCCAAGAAATGGGTGTTGTAATGTGTTGCCAGTAGTTGGAACCTGTTAGAACCTTTTTGGGGTCCCCTGATTGGGGGTGCAACCTGGTGGTTTGCCACGGTTTCTTTTTGTATAAGACCAACAGGCGGCTTTGATGTCTTACGTGTTTGTGGAAACGGGATGGGTGCTTTCGGATGACTGGGCTGGCTTGGACAATCCGGCTTTTATGCTTTCACAATGTTAGGCGCATTAGACAGAACCTTCATCGCCAGTCGACTGATTTAGACTGAGCGACATGGTTTCCATGGAAGTTGATCAAGCTGAAATCTGGAGGTCAGAAACGAGCAATTTAATCTGATTGGCTTGGCTTGTACGGATTCCAGAGTGGCCTTGGACGTTGCTGGCCACAAGTTAATTAGCTGACTACCAACCAGGTTTTGTCGAGCCACCGCTTCCTTGTGTTGGAATCTGCTGCTTCAGTTTCGCAGTTTTGGTCGCCTAGAATTCGAACAGCCTTGAGAGACCATTTGAGTAAACATTTGTAGTGAAGCACAAGCTTAGACTTTTCCTGGCCAATGCACTCAGGAAGTGAGGCAACCCAATTACACTTTTGCCATTGCGCTTCGGACGCAATGGGCAGTCTGGGCACGTGGCAGTGAAAGGTGCCAAACCTTTGGCTGATCGCCCTCACTTTTGAACCTTTTGCACCATGACCCTTCACTGTTGCAGCGTTAGTTGGACTGACGAAGCTGCCTCCGGCGGTTTTTTCGGGTGCCGGACATCCTCCTTGTTGGTTTCGTTTCCGTTGAGCATTTTTTCTAATTATCCGGTAGCATGGGTTGTTTAAAAAGGCAACACAGGTTCTTGAAAAAGGGATTAGGACTTTCTTATGGCTACTTTGGTTGGTTTGCTTGCTGTTGCTTTCCATGCTGGTTGCCCTTTAATGGGGGCCGCGGTTTCCCTCACAACTCCATGAATTTCTGCCTAAAAAGTGTGGCGCTCTCACGCCGATCCGAGGTGACCGATGATGGTCATCCTTGGCAATGTTTCATGAACATCGGGGTTGACCGATTCTTGTCGGCTGACTGCTAAATAGCCAAGTTTTGAATTTACCTGTGTGTGTGTGTGTGTGTGTGTGTGTGTGTGCGTGTGCGTGTGCGTGTGCGTGTGCGTGTGCGTGCGCGTGCGCGTGCGCGTGCGCGTGCGCGTGCGCGCGCGCGTGCGTGCGTGCGTGCGTGCGTGCGTGGGTGGGGCGGGTGGGTGGGTGGGTGGGTGTGGGTGTGGGTGTGGGTGTGGGTGTGGGTGTGGGTGTGGGTGTGGGTGTGGGTGTGGGTGTGGGTGTGGGTGTGGGTGTTTGTGTGCGTGTGTGTGTGTGTGTGTGTGTGTGTGTGTGGGGTGCGGTGTTCGTGCGTGCGTGCGTGTCGTGCGTGGAGTTGTGTGCGTTGTGTTGCGTGTGTTTTGCGTGTGGGCGTGTGGGCGTGTGGGCGTGTGGGCGTGTGTGCGTGTGTGCGTGTGTGCGTCGTGCTTTGAGGGATGCGTGCGCGTTGTTATGGTGCGCTTGGTTTGTGCGCGTGCGCCGTGCGCGTTTTCCAGCGCGCGCTGCGCGTGCGTGGTGCGTGCTGTTGCGTGGGTGGGGCGGGCGGGTGTGTGGGTGTGTGGGTGTGTGGGTGTGTGGGGGTGTGGGGGTGTGGGGGTGTGGGTGTGGGTGTGGGTGTGGGTGTGGGTGTGGGTGTGGGTGTGGGTGTGGGTGTGGGTGTGGGTGTGGGTGTGGGTGTGGGTGTGGGTGTGGGTGTGGGTGTGTGTGTGTGTGTGTGGGGTGCGTGCGTGCGTGCGTGCGTGTGTGCGTGTGTGCGTGTGTGCGTGTGTGCATGTGTGCGTGTGTGCGTGTGTGCGTGTGCGTGTGCGCGTGCGTGTGCGTGTGCGTCTGCGTCTGTGTCTGTGTCTGTGCTGTGTCTGTGTCTGTGTCTGTGTCTGTGTCTGTGTCTGTGTCTGTGTCTGTGTGCACGCATCCAGACACGCCCCTGTAAGCAATCATCCGGGCCAGCGGCTTGAACAGCTTAGGTGGACCAGAGAGGAGCTGGAGCATGGCCAAGTAGCCGAGGAACTCGTCCACTGCGAGATGGGAAATCAATGGGACACGGGATCCTCCCACTTTGATTTGTTTGGTTGCCGAGAATTCAGTGGTCTTCCTGTTTCATCGTGGCTTGCTTTACCACCCTTATTCGCTCCTTGCTTTTCGGTGGCTTTTGTAAAGGGGGACCTTGGGAAACCCAGTCCCTTTTGTTGTTGCACGTTGGACATTTTGAAGGGAGACCTCGGAAAAACCACAGCCTTCGGGGTGCCCAATTTCAGATGGGAGAGCAAGGGGCGCCACTCATTTCGAGGGTACCAGTTGGAGACACGTGTGTATCTTCCACCAATCTAGAGAGGTGTGATTTCATGACTTGGTGCCCATTTGGGTGTGACTCCATATAGTGATCCCTCCGAAAAGAAGTTCTGGCTCTTCTTATACAGGATCAGTTTCCTGTTAAAGGGATGCGTCCGCCGTGTGCAGAAGGGTGCCAGAACAAAGACACACAATCCGCCAGATCCTTTCCGTGAAAGGAAATCAGGTCGCCTTAGCCTTTCACACTTGGGATTGGACCCTGCCCAGATGTGGTCCACCGACCTGGTTTGGAAACGGCTGAGCATGGACACCAAAACCAAAGGCAAGGGTTTCTACTCGAGAACTGTTGCCACGGATTGGCTCAGAGCGAGCAGAACTACACACACAGACACACACCTTCAGCGGATACACAAAACTGCACTTTGGGGTTCTGGGAAACTATGTAGACACCTGCGATGCTGCAAAGGTAGCCAACAGGAGGAATTCCCAGCTTGTAGCCCTTCCACAGACGCAAATTGCAATCTGGCCACAATACACTCCAACAAATGCTGTCCAACCCCTTACCTTTTTTTGTTTGACCTTCTGGTTTATGGGCCCCAAGAACTGGATGCAAGTAGGGCCCACGTGAGTGGGTGTTTTGCTAGGAGACCCCACAACATGGTTGTCCTTTTGGTTTCCCTTAAAAGCGCCCAAAAAGGTGCCCAGAAAAACAGACAACCACATGTAAATGTCCACCAGAGGGTGCCAGAACCAAATCCACTCCCAACCCCTTGGGCGTGTCGGGGGGTGTCGCGGACAGGAAGCGCTTCAGGATCTCGCCGGACGAATGCAGGAGGCCGCTGGTAGGTGATTCCGGTCAGTGGAATTCCGAATCATGAAATGGCCTTTGCAGGAAGGTGTTCCTTGCACATGACCATCGCAGGTTTGTTTTGGTAGGATCCCCTCTTTTCCTTTGGGATGGGTTTCCGTTTGAGACAGCAACACAGGTGTCCCTTCGGGTTTCAGTTTGATGAACATAGATGCATTCCACTGGTCTCAGCGGTCTTTGCCTAAACTCTGAAAGTCGCTTCTTTCCAAACGGACACCCATCCTACTGGCACTTCGGGCATTGGAGTCTTGCTTGGTCTTCCTTCAAGCAGTGTGACTCACGTCCCTAAAGCGACCATTTTAGTGGCGAACATAGACTCTTTTTCCGGCCCCTCAGGGAGCGGGACCCGCGTACTTGTCTTGCTTTAGGGCGGTTCAGAATCTGGAGGAGAGAGACATATTAAAACTCAAAGCAAAGGTTCGATGAGAATCCTTTGATCAGAACCGCCCAAGATTCTGAGTGCCCTTTTCTTGGGTTTCTTGCTATGCAGGCAGATAGGGCTGTCCGCAGGTCGATGACGTATTCTTGGACGGGAAGCCCGCTAGCTCAAGTCCAAAAAATGGGTCTCAGGCAACTCGCCTTTGGAGTCAACTTCGAGCATTGCAGGCGTCCTTGCCTTTCAAGCAGGATTGGGCAAATTGGTTGAACCAAGTAGACCCTGCTACCCCGTGAAAAAGAAGGAGTGCGGCTGCGGCTTGCTTGAAGACTGAAGCGTTCGCTTTCCAAGCAACATTTGGCAGGCTGGAGTGTCCTTCAGCCTCACCAAAAGCGTTGAGGCCGGCGACGGGAAGAGGGTGAAGGCTGCTTCAAGGAAAGGTGTCATAGAACTGTAGCAGGTTGTGCCTTTTGCATCCCTCGTTAGAAATCAAAGAGCGCTGCAAAGGGGGGCATAAAAAGGGCCCATTTGACGAGTTAGGTTGCAACCCCCCTCCCATTTTTCGAAGAACAGGCTGACCAGCTTGTTAGAACAGGGTGGGTAGGGTGCCCCTCTCCTTATGCTCGCGTGTCTTTTTCTGTATTTTGATCCGGAGCTCTCGCGAGAAGGGCAAGAAATAGCGGTTCTCCCCAGCTGAGATTCGGACAGGGCACCTGATTTTGATAACAGGGGTATCTTAAACACAACCAAGAAGGAACACCCAGCTCTTTTTTTCTCCCGTGGGGGGGTATGACCTAAGAAAATACAGTGGCCTGGTTGTTTCGACGCCGTGCCAAAAACGGACGATTTTGGGGCGGCAAGCGCGCCCTTCCCTTTGAGTGTACTTCCGGCTGTTAGCTAAGTTACTCACCTGGTGTCAACCTTCACTTAAACCCGAAGTCTCACCCCCCCCGTAAACTCCCGTAAGCAGGGTGGTTCTTCACATTTGGCACCAGCAATCCCAGACCTAGGCAGCAAAACGCGCTCTTCAACAACTTGTCACCCGCCAAAGAGTAGCACGCTGGGTTCCGGTTTCATGGGACACGGTATCCGACGCGTGCAGGACTTCTATCAGCTGGACCTGGCCACTGAGGCTGGCGGATTTTCCCCCATCGCCTGGGTTTCATCCATCTCAACGGTTCGCTCGCGTTTTCGGTGGGTTTTGTCAACGACGGTGGCAATTTGATTGTTGTCACTATGGATATTTCTAGAAGGAATAGGTGCTTGATTTCAAACTCCCTGCTTTCCCAAAATCATGGAAGTGGATAAGGGGCATTGGCAAGAAGGGTGGTTTTCTTCAACCCTCCGATCTTCCGCTTTTGTGATTGTTGGAAAGAGGGTAGAACGGTATTTTCTGGGCCTGCGGCCTCTAGCCGGCTACGCCTCTTTGAAGTTATACCATGTCATGTCATGTTTTTTGTATGAGAAACGTATCCTGTGCTATGATATGGCTGGTTAGGTTATGCATGTTGCCCACCCCAACCTCAGATGATGCCGGGGATGCCAGCTTTCTGGGCCCTAGCCGGGACCCAAACCAGAAGGCTGACATGGGGTCGCGCGCGCGCGCCAGAGGCCGCAGAAACAGCAGCCCAAAAAGTACAGCCCGCAAGCCAGCCCGGAGACGCAAAAGCAACAAAACACCGTACATAGCAGCGTTTTGTCAGCAAAAGCAAAACGGACAGAACAACAGCCGTTTTTGACGGTATTTACAGCGTTTTGTAGAGCGAGGGCCCAGCATCGCCGGCATGCCCGGCAGCGCGCGAAAATGGGCCTCGCTTATATCCCTCCGATACCTTCTAAAAAATCAGTGCTTTTTGGGTTCAGAGGCTTTTTGGAAGGAAGTCTTGATGATGCAGACCAAGCCCCGCTGAAGCATCACCCAGGCCCAACCCCAGACCCTGATGATGTCAGCCACATTGGCCTAAACCCTGCATATACGCGATGTTTTGCGAGGGTTTCCCACAGGCAAGCAAAACCGCAAGCCCGAGCTGGTGATGCAGAGGTGCCGGATTTAGGCCACGCATCACGACCAAGTGACGAGGGTCGGCGGCGCCAGGGTGCAGCCCCCATAGCTAAAGCTAGCAGGCTAATTGCCTAGCGGCGACATGCTACCCCAGGAGGCGTAGCCGGATTTAGCAGGCTGACCCCTGATGCCGCCGACCCCGCAACCTCATCATCATTAGCATCAGCATCATTATCCTCATCGTCATCACTGTCATCATCATCCTCAGCATCAGCATCAGCATCCTCATCATCCATCATGAGAGCAACATCACCATCGGCATCAGCATCCTCAGCATGATCATCATCATCATCATCCACCATCTCAGTTTCATTAATTAGCATCAGCATCATCATCCTCATCGCCAGCGGCGTCAGCAGTATCCTCAGCATCCATCATGACAATGATCATCAGCATCATCATCGTCGGCAGCAGCATGATCATCAGTATCGTCAGCATCATCATCATCATCATCATCATCATCATCATCATCATCATCATCATCATCATTCATCATCATTCTTCATGAGCAGCCTCAGAATCAAACATCATCATTATCGTCTTCGGCATCATGACGGTCAGAGGTTAAGGTCAGGGTTAGAGGTTAGAGGTAGGGTTAAAGGTCAGGGTTCGAGGTTAGGGTTGCATGATGATGAGGATGAGGATGACGATGATGATGATGATGATGATGATGATGCTGGATGATGAGGCTGAGGATGATGATGATACTGAGGCTGAGGATGATGATGATAATGAGGATGAGGATGGATGATGATGACGGCATGGTGGATGATGACGATGATGAGGATGCATCATCCTCATTCATCAGCATCAGCAGCATCATCGTCATCATCCTCATCATCATTATCATCAGCGGCGCCATCATCATCCTCGTCATCCAGCATCATCATCATCCTCATCATCGGCATCATCATCCTCAGCATCATTCTTCAGCATCATCATCGTCATCGCCATCATCATCAGCCTCATCATCCCCAGCATCGGGGCTGCCTTTTTGGTCTTTCATAGTTGTAGAAAAAGGCAGCTTTTGCATCCCCGCAGGTGCCCGGAGTGGTGCTTTGCATGCCGGGGATGTGGGAGCTGCCTTTTAACCTTCAAAAATGGAAACGGAAGGCAGCTTTTGCATCCCGCGCTTCACCAGCATCATCCTGCAGGTGCCCGCGGTGATGCTTTGCATGTTGGGGATGCAGGAGCTGCCTGCCCGGTCTTCGAATCTCGGGAAGAAAGGCAGCTTTTGCATCCCCCGCTTCACCTGCATCATCCTGCAGGTGTTTGGGGTGATGCTTTGCATGCTGGGGATGTGGGAGCTGCTGGGGCGATGCTTTGCCTGCTGGGGATGCTGGAGCTGCCTTTTTGGTCTTCGAAAATTGGAAAAAAGGGACGCCAGCATTGTCCTGCAAGTGTTTGGGGCAATGTTATGTCCTGCAATCATCCATATCATCAGCCTCCTCATCATCATCATCATCATCATCATCATCATCATCATCATCATCATCATCATCATCATCATCATCATCATCATCCATCATCATCATCATCATCATCATCATCATCATCATCATTGTCCTCATCATCAGCATCATTCATCAGCATAATCATCATCGCCATCATCGTCATCATCATCGTCAAGTCATCATCATCATCCTCATCATCAGCGTCGTCATCATGCTCTAACCCTATCCTCTACTCTAACCCTAAACCCCTGACCCTAACCTCTAACCTTTAATCCTCACGTCTAACCTTAACCTCTAACCCTAACCTCTCACCCTAACCTCTATCCCTGACCTCTAACCCTAACCTCGAACCCTGACCTCTGACCCTCGCCGCTTACCTCTAACCTCTAACCCTAGCCTCCAACCCCAACCTCTAACCCTAACCTCTAGCAGCCTCATCATCATCCTCCTCATCATCCTCCTGATCATCATCATCATCGTCACCATCATCATCATCATCGTCATCATCGTCACCAGCGGCGTCATCAACATCATCATCGGCATCATCATCATCATCTTCATCATCCTCAGCAGCATCATCATCATCATCATAATCCGTCATCGCCATCATCATTCATCATCCTGAGCATCATCATCAGTATCATCATAGTAATCATCATTCTCATCATCATCATTCATCATCACTGTCATCACCATCAGCAGCATCATCAGCACCATCATCACCATCATCATCATCATCATCATCATCATCATCATCATCATCATCATCATCATCATCATCATCATCATCATCATCATCATCATCATCATCATCATCATCCATCAGCATCATCATCATTATCATCATCATTCATCATTAGCACATTGACACCATTATCATTCATCATCATTATCATCGCCATCATTATCATCGTCATCATTATCATCGTCATCATTATCATCGTCATCAGGTTAGGGTTAGAGGGTCAGGTTAGAGGACCGTTTGTACCGTTTTTACCGCCCCACAAGTCTTCCCG